AATTTTTTGATGGACCCCCTGCGAAAATGGGGAAAATCGTGAAACTCCAAAATATCGACTTCCGAAGGCCATATCTCGGTCAATATCCATCCGATTCTTAAGAGGAATACCTTAAACGATTTCTGGAAGGATTCTCCACCAATCTGCATCAAAACCTAGAAATAAAATTTTCGATCCGATTTTTTCAAATTTTTCTGATGGACCCCTTGCGAAAATGGGGAAAATTGTGAAACTCCAAAATATCGACTTCCGAAGGCCATATCTCGGTCAATATCCATCCGATTCTCAAGCGGATTACCTTAAACGATTTCTGGATCGATTCTCCACCAATCTGCATCAAAACCTAGAAATAAAATTTTCGATCCGATTTTTTCAAATTTTTCTGATGGACCCCTTGCGAAAATGGGGAAAATTGTGAAACTCCAAAATATCGACTTCCGAAGGCCATATCTCGGTCAATATCCATCCGATTCTTAAGAGGAATACCTTAAACGATTTCTGGAAGGATTCTCCACCAATCTGCATCAAAACCTAGAAATAAAATTTTCGATCCGATTTTTTCAAATTTTTCTGATCCTTGCGAAAATGGGGAAAATCGTGAAACTCCAAAATATCGACTTCCGAAGGCCATATCTCGGTCAATATCCATCCGATTCTCAAGCGGATTACCTTAAACGATTTCTGGAAGGATTCTCCACCAATCTGCATCAAAACCTAGAAATAAAATTTTCGATCCGATTTTTTCAAATTTTTCTGATCCTTGCGAAAATGGGTAAAATCGTGAATTTCCAAAATATCGACTTCCGAAGGCCATATCTCGGTCAATATCCATCCGATTCTCAAGCGGAATACCTTAAACGATTTCTGGAAGGATTCTCCACCAATCTGCATCAAAACCTAGAAATAAAATTTTCGATCCGATTTTTCTTTAATTTTTCTGATGACCCCCTGCGAAAATGGGGAAAATCGTGAAACTCCAAGATATCGACCTTGGGAAGGCCATATCTCGGTCAATATCCATCCGATTCTCAAGAGGAATACCTTTATCGATTTCTGGATCGATTCTCCATCGATCTGCATCAAAACCTAGAAATACAATTTTCGATCCGATTTTTTCAAATTTTTCTGATGTACCCCCTGCGAAAATGGGGAAAATCGTGAATTTCCAAAATATAGACTTCCGAAGGCCATATCTCGGCCAATATCCATCTGTTTCTCAAGCTGAATACCCCAAACGATTTCTAGATCAATTCTCCATCGATCTTTATTAAAACAGGATTTAAACTTTATGTTAAACTATTTTTTAAAATTTCCTCCAGGACCCCCTATCAAAATTCAACAAAATTGTTGTGTTTCCCTCCTAGACACCATACCCCAGCCAATTTGCATTCAATCCTCAAAAGAAATATCTTAAATGATTCCTACTAATATTCGCCAACAACCATCATCAAAAGCTAGAAGCATATGTTTTCTCTCAGTGTACCAAATGCGATTACTTTGGTGCCATTGCATACTTCCAGCCAGCTGCAGGAAAATGACTTTTTGAATCGCAAAAACCCCTAAAAGGAAATAGTGCCAAAGAACCGAGAATCTGAACCCGACGGTAAGGAATTAGCCTAAAATAACAACGCCCGGTCGGAGAAAGTAGACAGGAGAAAGCAGAACTCAGGGAGAGGTACGACAAAACAAAAGTGCCATGACTAATAGGGTTCTTGTTTTCCCTATTGGGGTAGTTCCACTCCCCATTTTGGGTTTTTCTTTTTTTTTCGTTTTTGTTGTTTTTATTTTCTCCGGTGTAGGTGTAATTGTATGAAAGCGTGCCGATTGGCGGCAGGTTCTAGGTGTTAAATAGTGGCACACATGCACAGAACGGTACTGAGAGCATTGGGGTTATGCCCTAAGGTCGTTAGTTAGTGAATGGCTATTAAGGTATTAAGTTAGTTAATCAATAGTGTGCTAGCTGAAATAAAATTGAAACTTTTGCATTAGCCCAAGCCTGTTGTTAGACCTTTGAAATCCTACAACCCAATCCTATAATTTTTGCTCATCGCATTTCCCCATTGATTTGTGTGGCAGTCGCTTAGTAACACACAACAGACTTTGCACCCATAAATACTACCTTACATAATTGAAGAGCAAAAACAACAACAACAATAATACACAAACACACCTCTACAAGGATTAACGAAAAGGATTTTCGCACAAGCAACAGACGGTTGCTAAAAAATTCATAGCATACTTTTTGGAAATTCGTTGAAATGCGTTGCAAAGCACTTAAAAAAAATCAGTTTTCGAAATAGTTAAATAGTTTTCTATTTTTGGGAAATAGTTTGTTTGAATATTTCCCGCTAAACTAGACGAGAGTTAGCCGTACTATGAGGTACAAATATTCGATGGGGCGCGTTCAAAATTAAACCGTTCTCGGCGCCAAGCGAACTCCAACTGAACTTATCAGTCACTCAACTGAGTGGCTCAACTACAACTACAACTACAACTATTGTCACAACTACAGTTATAAGCCACAGCCATGGATACAAATATAAGTGCTCACATCGATTATGTAATTGTGTGAGGGTGTTGCGACCCACAACATGGTGGACCACACACACACACATGAGGAAGTACAGTAGTTATTGGTTATTTAAATTTAAAAGATAAAAGTTATAAAAATAAAAAAACAGATAACTTAAAATAGTAAAAGTATATTATTTTAATATTTAATATTTATTTTATTTTGATAAATAGCTTGTACCTTTTAATGAGACCCCACTGTAGTCTCATACAAAAGCACAGAAAACGGTTCTTGGATTATTGTTGACTGCACATTTCGTTTATTGCCTTTGCCTCTCTCTTGCTTTCTCTCCTACTCTTCCTCTCTCGCCACTCTTCCGGCTGGCAAGGAAGTGTTGCCTGGGAGGAAGAGAGTCACACACACACACACAGACACACAGACAAGAAAAACAGAAGACTGTGGGGGAATTCTTTGGGAGAAAAACAACAAGATGGGGCCATAGTTTTGAAGAGTGCATTGTAAGCATTTTGGCTTAGGCATGTTAATGGGGTCATCACGCCCTCAATAAGACCTAAACCCTAAACCTAAACCCCTTCTGACCAACACACACCCACACTTACATACGTACATACACATGCATATGTACTTGTAGGTGCCCCCAAGGACTGCGGCTGTTATGACAAAATGTAAAATTGATCAATTTGGGGAAAAATGCATTCCTTTTTTTTGCTCTTTTTCTGCTGACTCTAAATTGAAAATATATATAATTTACGGAAAGAGAGGGAGAGATAATTGCGGTCTTAGGGCCATTTAAGCCAAGGATTTACCATTGAGCTCTATTATGGAATTAAAGGAGTGGACACTGGCCATGGAAAACCTTCTAGAAATTTAAACTAAATATTAAAATAAAGAAAATCAAAAATAAATAAATAAAATAAATAAAGGTAAACCCAAGTTTTAAGTCTTAAAATTTATTAAAGTCTTCCCACCCCCGCTTAAAATTATTGGATGCCAACCATCGTACCCATGCGACCCACTTCCACTGACACTTCTCCCTTTTCTGGCCAAAAGCAGAGCTGCCACATAATTTAATTACCATACATGCAATCGGATGCACAGCACGTCTGGTTTGGGATAAAAACGTAACCAGAACCACCCACACACCCACCCAAGTCCAACCTTCCAAGCACCACCCAAAAGGAATCCCTTAATGGAACTCCACGCATCCATCGGATGGCTGAGTTGCAGCATTAAGTGGCGTTAAATGGTGGCATGAAGCCCCAATAAGAAATATGAATTGATGTTTCAATAATAAAAAAAAAAAAGAAATAAATGCAAAAATGATTTCACAACAAAATTTAATTATGTTTTATTGTCTTAATTAAGATTTAATGAAAAATTTCCGAAAGGCCGAATGAACTTTATGCTGAATCATTAAATGATTATTGTATTTTGGGGGCTGAGCATAGTTTCTAGTCAAAACTATCTAAAATCTGCATAAAAAAAGATCTAAATTAATTTACACTTAAATTAATATTTTTAAGAAGTAAGAAATTAAAAAGAAGGCTTAATGACTTTCGTAACCTTTCTGCCAAATCATTCTTTTGGAAAACCACAAAGTTTATGGTAATCTTGTGGCTATAAAAATTCAGTTTTTCTTTTCGATTTTTTTTTCTTAATATTTTTTTCAAGTGTATGATGTAATAATCCGAATGTATGCAAAAGTATTTTTTTTGCAGGGCCATACACACTTTAATGTGTCAGCCACACGGTTTATGAATCTCCTCCATGTGCAATGTTGATGTGGTTACTGCACATTGGATAAATGGACAGTTGGGTGGATTGGATGGCTTGGATGGCTTGGCTTGGGTGGTATTCGGTGGTTGGAATGGATCGGTAATTGTACGTTGGACATGGCCTGTCTGGCGATGACGTTCTCGATGTACCAATGTGTGTAAAGTGTCATTGGGCGTTTGCGAAATGCAGATTGTGGTGTATTGGGGGGAGGGATAGGCACATGGATTACGGATAGCTGGCTGTGAATAATGGACTCCGAACTGGGTAAGGGGTACGGGTCCAAGTCTGGGAATGAGGACGAGCCAGGTCGGCCAACTTGGCCAACCGAACGGATGTGTCAATACCCACACACACATTGTGGTACTTCAAGGGGTCCTCGATGGGTCTGCTTCCATTACGGATTTCGTTTTGCTCTTAATTCCGTCCGGTTTTTGTTGCTCCACTTTCCACCAACCACACCTGTCACACCTACTTAAAAAACTGAGCTGAAGAAACTACAAAAAAAGGGGGTAACCTACATAAACTACACTACAAAAGACACGAATTAACATAAAAATTATGTTGATAAAGTTTGAAGAGGTTATCTGTAGACTATATGATACCTAGTACTTCTGAAAGGATTCCCCTATATTCCCCCTAAACCTCTCAATAAAAAAACATCCCAAAATTATAATAAAATATATGTATATTTAAAAAATAAAATATTTACTTACAAAAGCCCAAGCCCAGCTGGGAAATACAAGAATTAAAAAGCAATAACAATACATATTTATAAAAAATCCTTTAAAAACTAATCAATCTCCAAGGTACGAAGGCTTTGAGCCACATCGGTGTCGACCTTGTGCCTGTTGCCGCCCTTTTTGGCCTTGTTTAGCTGCCAATTTTTGGCATCCATCAGGTAATCCCTAGAGAGTTAAACCATCTTTACTAAATCCAATTAACAAATTAGAATCCCAGCACCCACCTTTGCTCCTTAAGTAGCTGCATCCACTCCTGCTTCAGATCCGACATCTTTCCGGCCTCTCCGCCGTACTCCTCCGGCAGCATGGAGCGCGGAAAGTGCTGGAACGGAGTCTCGGCATTGGGCAGATGGAAGTGTATTAGCTTGAAGACCTCACCCTTAATAAAGGGCTTCACCACGGTGAGGACCTTGTCCAGAAACGAGGGGCAGTTGAGGACATGGATCTCCTTGAGCCGAACGGGATGTGCCTCCTGGACGAACTTCATGTAGACACGGAGAGCGCCCAGGGCGGTCTTGGTCAGATGTCGTAGGGTATAACCAGCCATGTCGAAAATGGGTATCTCACCGTCCGACAGCTTCTCCTCGTCCTCGGTGGCGAACCGGCAATCGGCCACCATGAAGAAGACCTTGATTCCAGCCGTAAAATTAAACTATAAAAAAAACATATATATTTTGGTTACAACTTCATATAACTCCGATACTACTACTATATTACCTTGTCGGCGTCAAAGTCAATCAGGCGGTAAAATAGCAACTTGTTGTTCTCCGGGGTCAGTCCGGGCAACGGCACCAGATCTCTGTGGTAGACCGAGAGGTGGGTTAATAAATATACAAAAGTCGGGATCCCAAAAAAAAAAAAAACCGGTTGCCCAAATGACACTGCATCACCCTAAGTGCAGACACTGCGAAAAAATCACAAAGTTGCCAAATCACATCGTAAATTATCATTCAATGTTAGTGCAAATTAATGCACATAAACCCAACCTGATATTTTGTATTTTTGATTACCATATGCATTTGGAAATCTTACAAAAGAAATTATAGTTTAAAATCCAATCAATGAATCCCCCACCTCGTAGTGGAACTCCTACTTACGCCACTTTAAGAAGCTGCTGGGAACTGGCATCTAGGGGATCTCGATCTATAAAGATATTACTGTGTTTATTCCTCAGACCGTAGTTGAGTTCCAGGAGGCGCTGGGCGTGGCTGACATCGCCCCTTGTGGAATGCAGAAAGCGTCGCAGCAGAAGACTGGCTACAAAAGGGGAGTCGGAAAATCAGAAAAAAAAGTGGGGGAAGAGACGGTGGGGTATGTGTTGGATTATGCAACTTGGCCAAGAGGCCATCCAGGCCATTGACCCAATTTCCAGTTGGTCCACTCACATATATTCTGTGGCAGCTGTGGATGCGACTTAATCCATTCCCGCAGCTCCAGCATCCGATCCGCCAGCAGTTGGTCCTCGTTTTTGTGCACCATTTTGCTGAACGAGAGAAAGTGGGTTTAGGTTTTAGAGTATCTTGTAGATTTCTAACTTTTAAGACTTTTATTGTTTAAGATCTTAAAAGAGATATATCCCATTCTAGCAAAAAAGGTCCTAAAATGGAGTCATTATTATAAAGGTTTCATTGCAAAGTCTTCCCTTTAAAGTTGTATCCATATTTGATTCATATTTTGTGTTATTTAAATATTAATTTTAATATTTTATCTTAATCACACAAAAAAATAGAAAACCTTCATCACAAATAATTAAAATCTTTATTCACGACCTAAACTTGAATTTATCAGTTAACTTTTTAGCATCTCTTGGTAATAAAAAAAAAACTAAAGTTGGTTGTAAAAATGAAGACCCACTAGAACTTGGCCGGATTTGGAGTGAAACGCGTCTATGCGAGACTTAACCGCGATTGCAACTGATTGGGGCTGGAGCCCGGTCTTGGTTTTGGCTTTGGGTTTTTGGCTTTTTGGCTCTGCCACCGCCTCTGCCTCTGCCTCTGCCTCGGCCTCGGCCGCTGCCTCTGCCGCAGTCTGGCTCTGCTGTTGGCATCGCAAATAACCAAGTTATTACCTGAATAAAGCCAAGATCGAGGGGGCCATGGGGGGAGGGACAACCACAACCCGCTTCCAGCTCCCAGCTCCCATCACCCATCCCAGCTGACTTGCAAAGTTTTTGTGTTTTTTTTGCACTTTGTGCGATCAGAGTTTGGCTTTTATGTAAGATGCATTTTTTTTTTAGCAAATTCGTTAATTTCAAATGGAATGCTGCATTATTTTGAAGCATTACATTTATGGACAAATATTTAAAGAACTTGAAACAAAAATTGCCACAACTTTTGAAACTTAAAAGATAACCACTTAAAACCATGATTAGAATCACCTCCCTTATCCTTATAGACATGTCCTGTGGTTTTTTTGTCCAAAATTCTAATGAATAAAAAATAATAATTAAAATAAAATAAAATTAATATTTTTTTAAAAAAGCGCCCTCCTCCTCGATTCTCATAGGAAGCACTTAAGTAGGCCTAAAAAGCCGAAAAAAAATTAAGTCTTTTTAATTTTATGACTTTTCTTTTTGTTTTTGTTGTTTATTGTTGTAAAAACTAAGAGCTTATACAGTTTAACGGTAAATAAAGCCCTAGAAGTGGCTCTCTAAAACATATTAAATATTTTATTGAATATTTAAAATATTCTTCTTAAATGAGCTTGTTACCTTGCCAACATATAAGATAATTTAGTAAATCCTTGATCAGGATCAACTCTCTTATCCTTATAGACATGTCCTGTGGTTTTTTTGGCTAAAATGTTTATGCAAAAAAAATAATAACTAAAATAAAATAATTTATTAATTTTAAAAATAGCGCCCTCCTCCTCGATTCTCATAGGGAGCACTTAAGTAAGCCTAAAAAGCAAAAAAAAAATTAAGTCTTTATTAATTTTATGACTTTTCCTTTTTGTTTTTGTTGTTTATTGTTGTAAAAACAAGTAGCTTATACAGTTTAACGGTAAATAAAGCTATAGAAGTAGCTCTCTAAAACATATATAATATTTTTTTCAATATTTAAAATTTACTTCTTAAATAAGCTTCTCACCTTGCCAACTTATAAGATAATTAAGTGAATCCCTGATCAGGATCAACTCTCTTATCCTTATAGACATGTCCTGTTGTTTATTTGCCTAAAATGTTAATAATAAAAAAATTATAAACAAAACAAAATAATATAAATAATTTAAAAAATAGCGCCCTCCTCCTCGATTCTCATAGTGAGCACTTAAGTAAGCCCCTAAAACAAAATATTTTTTGAATCTTGAAAATTTTTATGGATTTTATTTCTTGTTTTTATTGTCTCTTATTATATAAACAACTAGTTTACACAGCTGACAGGTTAAGAAGCTTTAGAAAATGCTTTCTCAGGTGCATTAAATATTTTTTTTTTTCATTTTTAAAACCTCTTTCTATCTTTTTTTTTTAAATAAAATTAACACCTCAGCTCGTGTTGGTATTGTTGTGCAATTCAATGTGTTGACTTTTCTGTGTCAAAAGGTCAAACACCTATATGTGCATGCGTGTTTACTATTGTTGTTGTTGGTGGTGTTGCGTGGGTGCTGTGCGGGTTTTCCGGCCATAACTTACTGGCTTTAAGCTTTTTCCATGCGACCGCCATGGCGGCCATTGGCGGTAACTTTTTTTTTTTCAGTTGCTGTTGTTGGACATGTACATATGTCTTCGATCTTGGTTTACTATATGGGTTGGCTTTAGCTTTACCGCGACATTGGCAAACAATTTTCGGCAAGGCAAGGCAAGGCCCACACCATCCGCTGCTAACCACAGTCCGATGGCGAGTCGCGCTCCACTTGTTATGCCGCCGGCTGGTCGAATCGCTTCGTACGTGTTTCGCAACTTAAACTATTTACAACAGCATGAATTAAAACAAAAAAAACTGTCAAAAAACAAAAACCAAAAAGAAGCAGTCACGAACCAAAAAAAAAAATAAAGACGGAACAGCAAAAGCAGCGCAGAACAGAAAAATAAAAAAAAAATACAGCTACAAAATAAAAAATAAATAAAACAAACAAAAAAAATAACCATAACAAATATATATAAAAATGTTTAACCTGTATTTGCGTTAGCAGCAGATTGCATTACCATATAACATACAAGTTTACAGTGAAGCTTCTGGTTGGCGGGATCACAAAAATCAATCATACGCCATGTAAGCCAAATGAATATTACATGGTTTTCTTATGACATAACTTCTCGTGTAAAAAAACTAAAAACTTTAATGAGAAATCCTAAAAAATATCAATAAAATATATTTCATAGTTACTTGGCTTATTGAAGCTCCACTGTACTATTTGACAGTTGGTTTTTAATGCAGCTGTAAACTTAATAAGCCACCAAAATCCACACACAAGCGCCATTTTTTCACATTTCCATAAAAAAAGCGAAAAAAAAAACCAAATAAAAAACGAAAAGCATTTTTATGTGTGTCTCAGCAATGAAAATTAAAAGCAATTGCTCTTGACCTTGGAAATGAAACTTAACCGGCTTAATATTTTTTATTCAACAATTTAAATGCTTCCTTAAGAGTTATTTTAACAATTGCCAAATGAATTAAAAGTCAAGTAATTAAGTTGTATTTTTAAAATGCGAATAAGATTTAAAAAAAAAGCTTAGAACTTAAAATAATAGAACATATGGATGTACCATAAACATAGGCTTTTATCATTCAAATTTTTAATATTTAAAATTTTTACTAATTTTAAAATAAACTAAGTAATCATTTAATTTTTAACAAAGCGTTAAATTAATTTTGAAATAAAAATATTACATACCGTTTTTACACATGTAAATAACTTACCTAATTCTTACATCGATTTTACAGTGTGACCGTGTAGGTCAGGCGTTGGCCAAAATGAGCTGTCCATACCGTACGCACCCCAACTGGGCACACTCGTTCGCATATCCGATGGTGGAGCAAATCTAGGGATGTCGAATTTTTTAAAATTATCGTATCGATAATATTTTCTGTTTTAAAAAAATATCAAAATGATATAAATATATATCGCTACAAAAAATCGATATATCGATGTTTTTGATATTTTTTTAGTTTCCTAAAAAGTTTTTAGAATATAAAATAATAGAAATAAAACACAGAAATTATTATTGCTGTTTAGTTTTTCTCATCTTTAGTTTTTTAAATCCATAAACATAACATTTGAAAATCATAAAGAAAAATATAACATAAAGAAAAATATAACATAAAGAAAAATAATATTCTATTTCATTATAGTCTTTGCCTGAGATTCGAGTTCTATTCATAAAAATAACATAAAATTTATCTTAAATTAAATTCAAAGTTCTTATATAATAAAAAATAAGGAGATTGTATTCCATTATACAGTCTTGGTCTTGTATAAAGTTAGTGCCAATATTTGGCATTAATAGACTTTAAAAATACCCGTTGCGTTATGTGATTATCAGTCATTCGACTCCTTGAATCACAAACGACGCATTTTATAGCCGAAGCCAGTCTCTCCGAAGGCACTGAACTCCCAGGTGTAATTAGGTATTTCCGGGCGAGTTGATATAATCCTGGCATAGCCACCTTGTGTGCATTCCAAAATGTTAGGGGATTACTTTCCCATGATGTTTGGGGCAAACTGAGATATAATTTTAGCTCGCTGTGATCAGAGTTTTGCAAGGAAAGGCCCTTTAAAATTGACCTATTGTGGGCCTCCATAAAATCGACACACTGTTCCTCTGCATTGTCATCAGAAATCTGTAATAATTTAAAGGAAATTAATATATACTTTATTTTTGCTTCGGAATAATAAATAAATTATTAATGAATTAATTACGTTGAGTTATTATTATTATTAATGTAAATGTAAGTATTACTATTAAATTATATACATGATTACGAACTCTAAAATTTGACATACCGGGGTTTCCTTTGAAAAGGTAGAAATTTCGTTCAACAAATCATTTGTTGCCTCCTGTACCCTGATGGGTGATATGTACATTTTTTTAAATCTTGGATCAAGAAAAGATGATTTCACCAATATTTTATTTGATTCAAGTGTAAATTTTATTTTACAGTGTAGTGTAGATTTTATTTCGTGTGTGTGAAATTTTGCGACATTTTACTGCGAAATCTACATTTTTTCACACACACGAAATAAAATCTACACCTTCGCGGTAAAATGGCGCCAAATTTCGGCGTCATGTTGTACACATAAATATATATATTAGCGGTGCCCACACAAATACATTTACATATGTGCACAATTATACTGCGAATTTCTTTTCACACACACAAAAACACTGAAAAGAAAACGCTATTTTATATATAAATTTATTAATATGTACAAACCTTTTTTGCTGACACTTTAAAAAAATTCGTTATGTTTATTTTTAACATGTGACGTCAAATTTGTGGTGTTTCCACTTGTTTTTACCATTTTATTGCACAAATTACACTTTGCTGTTCCGTTTTTTATTTCACTATAATTCTTTTTATTAGCTTTATGTCCATTTTTCTCACACCGCCGATCTTCACTTTTTTCAATTTGATCAAAGAGTGACCAACGCAGAAATATCAGATAATATCAAAAAAAACTATCGCACACTCGATATTTGGGGGAAAAAAATATTACGATATAAATATATTATTTTTCCCAAAAAATATCGATATATTGATATTTCGATATATTATCAACAACCCTAGTACTAAACTAAAACTAAGTGTGCGAAGCAACAAGCGTCCGGACTTTGAGGCTTCTGACAGTTGCCTACTCAGTTGAATCAAATTGTTTAGACGGTCTTGGCGGAACAAGAAAACAGCAAAAGCGAATGATAAGATAAGCTGTCCCGAAACTGTCTCTCTCTCCGGCTCGTTATCAGCCACCGCATCTGACGTAGAGTGCCTATGTATATTCCTTGTCAGATGCCGTGAGCTGAGTTTGGCTTTTAATCCGGTCTTGACCTTTCAGGCTGACGCTTTCGACACTGATTGGCCAAGTTTAAACTTTGTATAGAGGAATTACATTAGGCACCTCATAAATAACAGTTGGCCAAGTCTGATAAGGCTTTCTGATTGCAGACGATTGCTTTAAAGAACCAATTACATTTTATAAGTATTGCCAGACGAATGAATGCGATAAAGTCGCAGGCAAATTTCAAAGGTAAACTCCTAAGAATATACAGACTTTATAAAACGGCAGGTACATTTAAATAAAACAGAAAACATCGATGAAAAAAATAGTCAGTGAGACTTCCCTAGCTTTCAATCAACAAAGCTGTTAAGCAGGGCCGTAGCTAGCATGGGGCAGGTGGGGCGGTGCCCCAGGGCCCCCGAAGGGAAGGGGCCCCGCCGGGGCAAAAGACTTCCGTATAGGGGGCCCCACATTTACTTGTTGCCCCAGGGCCCCTGAGGCTCTAGCTACGGCCCTGCTGTTAAGCTTATTGAAAATTTAGATTTTGGAACTTGAGTTTTGGATAACCATTTTGGGATGTAAAGGAGTAACTTTTAAAGATTAATTGACTACGAGACGCTCTCTACGATAGTTAAATGCCTATCCTGAGTCAAAGTCAATTTTTGTAAGGTACAGTTTCTTGCAAAAGAAAAGGCCCTTTCTGCACATTGGCACCTTTTGTAATTAGCCATTAAACCATGGACGAACACGACATTCAAATGACTGCAGGGCGCAGTCAGAGAAGTGCGACTAACAAGTGCTGATAACCACACGTTGGTGGGTCAGCGATAAGGGCTTTCGCACATGGGTGCGCAATTGTTTTTTTCGTTTTTGTCTTTGTGGAAAACAGACAGAAAATGGAATGCTTACCTCCGCCTCAATAAGCTGAGTGTCCTCGGGGGTCGAGGGTAGCGGGCATCCGGCATCATCCTCTTCTCCCAGTTCGTCGTCGTACTCGAGCAGGCCCAAGTCGTTGGCGCTGAGGGAATCCTCCGGCCCCCAGCCTCGGCGCTTGCGAAGAATCATCTTAACTTCTTCGAAGATGTCCTCCTCTACCTCGTCGCTGCCGCTGCCGATCTTGTTGGTTCCGCGCAGAGTGGCGGTGGTGGTGGTCACAGCGTCGGCAGTAGCGTGACCCGAAGCGTCCATGCCAAACTTGGTGCTAGCGGTGGTTTTGACTTCCACTTCAGCATCGTTCAGATCGTTCGTGGAGCTGTGTCGCTCGAGAAGAGTCGATTCCGAATCCATGAGGCCCGTACTTTCTTTTAGCCTTCAAACAAGAAAGTTCTGAAATATAAATGAGAACTAATCAGTTGGAAACGCTTGAATTTGGTTGCTCGGAAAAGGGGAAACGTTGTTTGTGGCGTCGCCAGCTTGCCACAATCGAGAAATTTGATATTTATACTTGTTTATTGGTGTCCGCCTGGAACCAATCCAATCGCCGTCGTGCCAAGTAACCTTTGTATCCCAGTGAATCGGTCGGTTACAGTTTTGTGCTTGTGTGTACCAGTGCGATTCATTAGTATTGCTTTGTTTGTTTAATCATTTGGCGAGTCAGATGCCAATTAAATTTTTATATAAGATCACTCAGATGAGTGGGCGGGGAGGGGTGATGGCGGAGTGCAATGATGGTGACTCCGCAGTCCATCAAAAAAACTTTGGAACTTTGATTGATAACTTGAACTCTTCAGAGCTCGACCTGAAGGCCACGTGTAAAAGGTTGAGAAACTGGTGTACAACCCACTCCAAGTTTTCACTTGCGAGTTTTTCCAAACTATTGAGGCCACCAATGTCGTCACAACCAAGGGCCTAATCAGCTGCATCCAATGGGATCACTTACATTGCTTAAATCGCGCAATTGGGGTAACTTCAATTGAAGGCGCTTGAAGTTAACACTGGCGCTGAGAACTAGTGGCTAAGCTTGGTTTAATTAAAACAAGAAGCCTATTTTCTTCGTGTGTTTTTCTCTAATTTTCTGGTAAGTATGGCTGCCTATGAAAAAAGGAAAATGTGTACTTGATTTTTAGGTGGGTACACACTATCATATGGTTTTAGAATTCACTATGTGGTCACACTGCTAGTAACAGCTGTTAACACTGCTCAAATTTAACACAACAGCTGTTGGGCTCAAAAACTTTCTCTGTTAAAGTTAACAGATTGTCAGACTGTAAATGTAGCGCCAATATTTAAATTATTTTATTTTTAATAAAATGTAAGCATTATTGTTTATATATGTAGGCATTTTACAAATGCATTTTGTATACAATTTTTTTTATTTATTTAACAAGGTTCTCAAGGTTCATTTTGCTGCATACTATGTCGATTTCTATAATAAAAAATATAAAATTAACAAAAGAAATATAAGCATTATTTTTAAGCATTATATATAAGCATTATATCTTGTTATATTTCCTTTTTTTTATAACTAATTGATAAAAAAAACTTCTTACTCCGAAAATATTTTTTAATGAGTTTATAATGCTACAAAGAAACTGCCGGCATAAATAATGAATGAAACTTCATTCAAGCATTGTATTTGTGTTACTTTGTCATTTTATGCTAAATGATCTGCTGTTTTAGTTAAATAGCCCTAAAAGATGTCAATAATGGTCAATGAATGGAGCTTCATTTTGAGTCGTAAAGCTATTTGTGTTACCAATTTACGCATCTTGTCTCTTTTATGAGAAATTTTCGACCATGTGTAAGACCTCATCCCAAGATGCCGATAATTTGTAACTCGAAGATCTGCTGCACTTATAACTCACTTTCTAAACAGTAAAGCTCATTGAGTTATTATTAGACATTGTTGAAACTTTCCTACCTCAACCACTCAATATTCCTAGCTACCTGACAATTATTATAATTGTAGTTTCTGAATATGTCCGTTAAGCCTAATATTGTAGTTATTTTCCAAGCTTATTTATTAAACTGATATTATGTTACAATTATCTTATTACAATTACAATTACAATGTAAAGTATCTTGTCGTTGTTTGTTATCTAACACCAACTTTATAGCCATTAACTTTATACCCTTTATAATCAATGTGATCTTTTTTTTTTTTGCGTTCTATCCCATTTAACATGTTTATCAAACTTATAGTTTCTTTGCTAAATGAATTTATGGGCTATAAAAAAATTTTCGAAAGATGTTTTAAAAATTGCCCCTCTATGAATACATTCTGACACAAATTGTAATAAACCCTACAATGTACTTTCTTTGAATAAATTATTCAACAATTAACGAGGGGTACTTTTTATATTAATAAATCGAAACTTTTCCGCAGCTTCTTAAAGGTTTCCATGCAAACTTGAATCAATATCTATAAATATTTACTAGGACTGGAACTACCATGGACAAAGAAAAACCCCATTAAGGAATCCAGGCCAATAGCATTAATCAGTCTCGCCAAAGTCTCGTGCCTTGTGTAGTCGGTCTTTGGTGTTCTGATAACTCTGTCAGAAACTCGGCCAAGGATCTGAGGCAAATTCGCAATGACGCGGACTCTGGACTAGCGGTATTAATCGACTGAATTTAAATAATATCGCTGAAGTTCAGGGCCATTATCACGAAAGAGAAACACCGATAATAGACGCCGCTCGAATGACAAACGAACGATAACAAACGCAAAACGGCTTTTTGTTTTTGCCACATAGTGGCGTTTTATAATGAAAATGCTAAAGACCCGGAAGAGCTCATGTCCGGCGAAAAATATATTTATGTATTTATACATGTATCTATAGTGCATTGCATTGATTTTGGTTTATTACACAGTTTTTTTATTTTACAGAATCGCAAATATTTGGGAGGGCACTTAACACTTGGGTGGGTCACAGGCCGTATAACTTCCCATCGTTGATCTGCAAATGCTTTCCCATCGGCCCAAAAACGTGTTAACTGTCCCCCGATAATCCTATTTACGCAAGTATTTACGTAGAGCCGTAATAGTGCCGGAATAGGGCGTGTCACCAATATATATGTATGTACGTTATCCAGACAAATGACGTGACGGCGATAATAAATCAATTGTCTAGCGGTTAGTTGGCGGCCAATTCGTGTTACCACCAGGAAAATCCACACAAGAAAAAAATTTAAACAAAAGTGCTTTAATTTTAAACATTTATTTAAGATATTTCTATTATTATGTACACAAAAATAGGAAACAAAATACTTTATTTACTTTTTTTGTATAAAATTGGGAAGGCCATATCTCGGTCAATATCCATCCGATTCTCAAGAGGAATACCTTTATCGATTTCTGGATCGATTCTCCATCGATCTGCATCAAAACCTAGAAATACAATTTTCGATCCGATTTTTTCAAATTTTTCTGATGTACCCCCTGCGAAAATGGGGAAAATCGTGAATTTCCAAAATATAGACTTCCGAAGGCCATATCTCGGCCAATATCCATCTGTTTCTCAAGCTGAATACCCCAAACGATTTCTAGATCAATTCTCCATCGATCTTTATTAAAACAGGATTTAAACTTTATGTTAAACTATTTTTTAAAATTTCCTCCAGGACCCCCTATCAAAATTCAACAAAATTGTTGTGTTTCCCTCCTAGACACCATACCCCAGCCAATTTGCATTCAATCCTCAAAAGAAATATCTTAAATGATTCCTACTAATATTCGCCAACAACCATCATCAAAAGCTAGAAGCATATGTTTTCTCTCAGTGTACCAAATGCGATTACTTTGGTGCCATTGCATACTTCCAGCCAGCTGCAGGAAAATGACTTTTTGAATCGCAAAAACCCCTAAAAGGAAATAGTGCCAAAGAACCGAGAATCTGAACCCGACGGTAAGGAATTAGCCTAAAATAACAACGCCCGGTCGGAGAAAGTAGACAGGAGAAAGCAGAACTCAGGGAGAGGTACGACAAAACAAAAGTGCCATGACTAATAGGGTTCTTGTTTTCCCTATTGGGGTAGTTCCACTCCCCATTTTGGGTTTTTCTTTTTTTTTCGTTTTTGTTGTTTTTATTTTCTCCGGTGTAGGTGTAATTGTATGAAAGCGTGCCGATTGGCGGCAGGTTCTAGGTGTTAAATAGTGGCACACATGCACAGAACGGTACTGAGAGCATTGGGGTTATGCCCTAAGGTCGTTAGTTAGTGAATGGCTATTAAGGTATTAAGTTAGTTAATCAATAGTGTGCTAGCTGAAATAAAATTGAAACTTTTGCATTAGCCCAAGCCTGTTGTTAGACCTTTGAAATCCTACAACCCAATCCTATAATTTTTGCTCATCGCATTTCCCCATTGATTTGTGTGGCAGTCGCTTAGTAACACACAACAGACTTTGCACCCATAAATACTACCTTACATAATTGAAGAGCAAAAACAACAACAACAATAATACACAAACACACCTCTACAAGGATTAACGAAAAGGATTTTCGCACAAGCAACAGACGGTTGCTAAAAATTCATAGCATACTTTTTGGAAATTCGTTGAAATGCGTTGCAAAGCACTTAAAAAAAATCAGTTTTCGAAATAGTTAAATAGTTTTCTATTTTTGGGAAATAGTTTGTTTGAATATTTCCCGCTAAACTAGACGAGAGTTAGCCGTACTATGAGGTACAAATATTCGATGGGGCGCGTTCAAAATTAAACCGTTCTCGGCGCCAAGCGAACTCCAACTGAACTTATCAGTCACTCAACTGAGTGGCTCAACTACAACTACAACTACAACTATTGTCACAACTACAGTTATAAGCCACAGCCATGGATACAAATATAAGTGCTCACATCGATTATGTAATTGTGTGAGGGTGTTGCGACCCACAACATGGTGGACCACACACACACACATGAGGAAGTACAGTAGTTATTGGTTATTTAAATTTAAAAGATAAAAGTTATAAAAATAAAAAAACAGATAACTTAAAATAGTAAAAGTATATTATTTTAATATTTAATATTTATTTTATTTTGATAAATAGCTTGTACCTTTTAATGAGACCCCACTGTAGTCTCATACAAAAGCACAGAAAACGGTTCTTGGATTATTGTTGACTGCACATTTCGTTTATTGCCTTTGCCTCTCTCTTGCTTTCTCTCCTACTCTTCCTCTCTCGCCACTCTTCCGGCTGGCAAGGAAGTGTTGCCTGGGAGGAAGAGAGTCACACACACACACACAGACACACAGACAAGAAAAACAGAAGACTGTGGGGGAATTCTTTGGGAGAAAAACAACAAGATGGGGCCATAGTTTTGAAGAGTGCATTGTAAGCATTTTGGCTTAGGCATGTTAATGGGGTCATCACGCCCTCAATAAGACCTAAACCCTAAACCTAAACCCCTTCTGACCAACACACACCCACACTTACATACGTACATACACATGCATATGTACTTGTAGGTGCCCCCAAGGACTGCGGCTGTTATGACAAAATGTAAAATTGATCAATTTGGGGAAAAATGCATTCCTTTTTTTTGCTCTTTTTTCTGCTGACTCTAAATTGAAAATATATATAATTTACGGAAAGAGAGGGAGAGATAATTGCGGTCTTAGGGCCATTTAAGCCAAGGATTTACCATTGAGCTCTATTATGGAATTAAAGGAGTGGACACTGGCCATGGAAAACCTTCTAGAAATTTAAACTAAATATTAAAATAAAGAAAATCAAAAATAAATAAATAAAATAAATAAAGGTAAACCCAAGTTTTAAGTCTTAAAATTTATTAAAGTCTTCCCACCCCCGCTTAAAATTATTGGATGCCAACCATCGTACCCATGCGACCCACTTCCACTGACACTTCTCCCTTTTCTGGCCAAAAGCAGAGCTGCCACATAATTTAATTACCATACATGCAATCGGATGCACAGCACGTCTGGTTTGGGATAAAAACGTAACCAGAACCACCCACACACCCACCCAAGTCCAACCTTCCAAGCACCACCCAAAAGGAATCCCTTAATGGAACTCCACGCATCCATCGGATGGCTGAGTTGCAGCATTAAGTGGCGTTAAATGGTGGCATGAAGCCCCAATAAGAAATATGAATTGATGTTT